TATGGATTTGGTGATGTTGCACAAGGATTTAGTAGAAGTTCAAGTGTTGTTTGAGGTATTTTTTTGTGTTGTCATCCATTTAGTGAAATTACTAAAAAAGATAATGAATATCATATTCAATGTTCAAGTCCAGTGGGAAGAACAGGAATGACTCAGTTTACTGTTAGATCAAAAAATTTAATCAAAAACGCTTTCTTTGAAAAAGGTATTGAATCAAGAAAAGTTAATTATCTTCAAGCATTTACTACTAAAGAACTTCCATTTGAAAGAAGAGGATATTTTACACTTCCAGGAATTTCTCAAAAAAGTATTCAAGGGATTGTGTCGAGAATAGAAGATATGACAACAATTGCACTTAGTGTAGAACATATTGATGGAGAAGAACATGTTCTTGAACAAGCGTTAGAAAAGATTTTTAGTGAATATAAAGAAAAATGTGTTTTTATGATTAAATATTCATTAGAATTAAGACAATGGAAAGAAATGAAAAATAACAATGGAGTATTGATTTGTTCTGATGGAACGATTGGAATTAATAGTGACATTGATATTATTGTTAATGAAGCTAAAAGTCTTTGTGGAGAAAAGTTGTTCAGAGACGATGAAATTGTTGAAGAAGTACCAATTGAAGAGTTCCAACAGCTTGAGAAAAGAAAGAAGGAAGAAGCACAAACAACACAACAAGAAGTTGAAGAAAAAAAACAAGAGAATATAAATTGAATTAATAAACAAATAACCTTAATTTAATTATTATTTTTCTATAACAAATAAATAAGAAAGAGGTAAAAAAAAGAAAGAAAAGAATCTAACTAGTAATGAATTTAAAGTTCATGATATCTCAATAAATCATCCGTCTTAATAAAAAGTTTTAATACTGTAAAAGTAGCAACACAAACAACTGCATAAATAAACCACCAAAGAGCCCATACATACCATAATGTTCTTCTTTCTTTTAATCTTTTTGGTCCAACCCTTGGAGTATATGTAATTGGAACATAGTTAGGTGCTTCTGTTTGGAATTCTGAATCCACAGCAACAAATCCAACATCTTTTTCAGTTTCACCACCAACAAAAATGTAAACAGTTTCACCTGGATTTAAGTCAACACTAACATAAGTTCCTCTTGTTGAACATGACTGATAAGAGACTGTATGTTCTACTATGCATTGGTCAGGAATATTAATACCATTAACAGCACTACAACTTTTATAAACACCCATTCTTGTTCTTACTGAAGTAGCAGCATTACAAGTATTAATATGTAACTTTCCTTTAACTGATGCAGAGTAAGTATACCAAACTCCTCTTAAATGATTAGAGGATTTTTGTTTATTTCCAATAACTCCATATAACAAGGATTGCATATCATGTTTTACATTTGGTTTACAATTACTAACAGACTCATAAGCATATTTAGTAAGTGCGTATTGGGTTAATCCAGGAGTTAATAATTCTGCTTTTTGACAAGTTGAATGAGATGGTGGATTGAGTGTATAAACATTAAGTCTAAATGTACCTTCTGTATCTACTGCCTTACTAGACTCAGAAACATAAATATAATATTCTGCTCCTTGTTGTGCTTCAAATTTTACATATGAAGCAGAACTACCACATTCTGGAGAATCATCATTAGATAATACACAGCTAGCATCATTACCACATCCTTGGAACACTTCGACATACGTGTCAAATTGAGTTTCAAGACCACAAGTTTCTACAATCATTGTATCTGTTACAGGACTTTGGAAATAATAATAAATACCTGTGTGTCTTCCAACAACATCTTTAGCACATATTGGTGTAGTAGTTTTTCCAGTATTTGGTTTATATTCAACTAAGGTAAATGGAGCATTAAATTCTAAAGCTGTTTTACAAGTGTCATGATTAATATGATAATCTCTTCTCATAAATACTGATACTTGACCTTCTTCTTCTGTTGTTGTAACAAAGAACATTATAGTCTCTTTAGGTTTAAGTAAAACATGATGAACTGAATATTGTCTTTCTTCACATTCTAAAGAGCATGTTCTATACATTTGAATCTCAGCTGTGTGTTTAGTAGAAGATGCTAAAAGTACATTTGCTTGAATAAATAAAGGAAAAGCATATTTATAGTCATTTACAACTTTATACCAAATACCTTTCTTTTGAGAATCACCACCACAATGAGTTTGTGATGTTCTTGAAGTATGTAAATCAAATGCATCAGTAAATGAATCATCTTTACTTGTAATACTAACGAGTTTAGAAAAAATACAACTATTGACTGTTCCTTGTGGATTAATTTTATCAACATTTAATGTAACTCTACATTGATTATGTGGGTTAGAACAACTTACTTTAATGAAATAATTCTTTCCTAATTCTAATTTTTTACTAATTTTACCATGTAATCCACATCCATTATTATTCATTTCACATTTACTATTAGATGTACAACTTTCAAATATTTCTATCATTGTTCCATCTTGTGGTCCATTCATACTATTACATGTATACATTAAATAATCATATCCATCTCCTACAATAGAATACCATGAACCAACTTTTTCTACTGAACTTCCACATGACATACTTTGAGTTGTTCCTGTTAATTTGGTAGTATGTGCAAATGGTAAAGTGGTAATAGCAAATGCTTTGTCACATGTTTGTGGTCCAAATGAACTTTCAATATCAAATGTTACTATAAACATTCCCCTCTTATTTGGTGAAGAAGCTACATGAATATAATAGATTTTACCTGGTACAGTGTCAATATGAATTTTAGATCCCATATTACCATCTTCACATGCAGTCATTTTTGTAGGAATTGGATTCATTGAGTCACAATTATCAAATACATTTATAACAGTATCAGCCGTAGTAGCTCGGTGGCATGTTCCAATATGAATTTTATCTCCTGTTCCTTTAAGAACATAAAATAATCCAGATAATTCATGGAAATTTGGTGCTAATCCAGTTGTTGTTCCTTCTCTGAATGAAGGGTATTCAGTAATATCAGCAGCATGAGAACATTGTTTATTACTGAATGATGGATTTTTAATAATTCTAAGCCCAAATACACCAACATCATTCTCTGTTGCACCAGTAATAAATACATAAAAACTAGTTTTACGTTTGTCATTAAAAATGAGTCTTGCAGCAGATCCACATCCTTGTACACTATCATCGTTTGTTGATAATAATTGGCCTGCCATACCATTAACACATTGTCCAAAAACTGCAATTTTTGAATCATAATTTGTTATTCCAGATAAACATGTATCTACTTCTATATTATTACCTAGTCCAGCTGTATGAACACGATACCATTTCCCTTTAGTTTTATACATCTTTCTTCCTACTTTATAAAGTGAATCAGTAGCATGAGTTGTATCTTCTGTTACCATAAATTGTTCACTATTTGTTAAATCAACATTTGTAGCTGAACTACATTGGTTGTTTATTCCATAACAATAATTAAAAAAGAACATTACAGCCAAAAGACATGTTATTTGGACCATTCTTTATATTAAGTTCTTTAAGTTTTTTTTTTCAGTTTTATTTAATTTTTAATTTTTTTAATTTTTAATTTCTTATTATTTTTTGTATTGTATTAAGTGTATTTTTACAGGAAGATTCTTTTGATGTCATTAAACTTTTATTTAAACAACTCTAGTTTATGACATCTCTTTTGATATTAATTGATTTTATTTATTTTAATATAATTGTATTATATTATTAATATTTTAATAATAAATTAGTTATCATTATATTTTACTCTCTTTATTGCTTATTTATTCAAAATAAATGAATTGATAAAAGAAGGTCCCAATTAGATTATTTAATGAAATCATCATTGTTATTGTCTTTAATGTTATTTGTAATTGTAAATTATTTCATATATAAATATATACCTTCTTTTTTTCTATAAATACCATTATTAATAATGAATTATATATTTTTGTTATATATTTTAAATTGACAAGGTATTTATTGGCAATAATCATTAATACTTCATGTTAATTTTATATAATATTATCATTTTATTTATAATTAGCATTCATACTATATTTATCTGTTATTTTTTCATTTGATTTTCTTTGTATTTATTTTGAATAGTGTTTTACTTCAATTTATTCGATTTACACTCTCTATTAGTTTAATACTATTTGTTGTATATTCATATTTTATATTATCAATTTTTGATACTTCGTTATTCTAAGACATTTAAATAATGAATGATTGTTTACAAATCTATTATTATATTTTGAAATCAAAGAAAAATATTATCTAACTCATAAATAAATTTATAAAAAGGAATAATCTTAATTTGACTCAAAACAAGAAAATAAATAAGGTATAAATAATTAAATATAGCGACAAGTATATATTTTTAAAATATAAAGTGAGATTAAAACATATTTTGATTCTATTTTTTAGAAACGAATAATGAAACGAAAAAAGATTTAAAAAAACTTTGAAAGAATCTAAGGAAGTAATAGATAAAAATAGGAAAAATGAAGAGAAAAGAGAAACTAAGAGTCAAAAAGATTATATATTTTTAAACATTTTTTGTTGGTATATTTATTCTTAAACTTCTATATAATAACTAAAAAGTTAATCTTATACATAGTTAATATTATATGATTATTATTAATATACTTATCCTTTTTATTTGTTCTTGCATGTCTGAAGAATGTTCAATAGACTCAAATGATTATGAAGTTAAAGGAGATTGTACAGATGTTTCATTTGATACTACATTAACAACTGGTGAAATTAAAGTTAATCTTGGAGAAAACAAAGAAAATAACCAGATTGATAGTTTTACTATTGGCTCATGTACAAAACTTACATTAACAGGAACAAGAACAATTAAAACACTTAAATTATCAAAAAGTTGTCCACTGATTATTGAAACTGAAATAAAAGTTGAAAAAGTTGAGTCAACAGAAACAAATAATGGAATTCTTTATTATGCTAAACATGCAAATAGTATTCCTTCAGATCTCTCAAATCACAAGTGTGATTATTACAGAGCGTATCAAAAGGGACATTCTGAGACAGAGAAATGTGATTGTACAAGAACACATAACAAATATTCAGAAATTGATTGTGACTCTATTACTGTTTATTCTGAAATGACTCTTGTTGATGATTGTTTTAGTTCTATGCTTACAATTAATCAGAATTGGAAAACTGTTCAACCCACAAAAAATTGCACAGTAACTTTACAAAAAAATATTAGTTCAATTAAATTAAAACAACAAAAAGATGTTGTTGTAACTGTTAAAGAAGATACAAAACAAGAAGATGCTGTTATTAAGGCTGGTTTACGAAAACAAAAATCAGATTCACAAAAAAGTATGACAGTAGAAATGGATAGTTCTGTTACAGTTTCATTTATTAAAGTCACTGGAGTTTCTGGTACATGTGGTTCAAATTCAGTATGTGTCTATACAACACAATCAAATGACAATGTTGATACTAAAGGAGAAACAGGAGTTTCATCAAATAAATGTGGTACATACTATAGAATTGGAAAGGATACAACTTGTACTTGCACATTAAAAGATAATGAACAAACAATAAAAAAGTTAAATTTTAAGGAGTCTGATTGTCAAGGTTTTACTGATCTCACAGACTATACACTTACTTTAACAATGGGACAAAAATATACACTTGGAGAATCTTTGTCATTTAAATCATTAACAGAATCTAGTAGCAATATTGCAATAACAGGTCAAACAGAAGATGGAAATGAATTAAAAGAAGCAAAAGAAAGTCCAGAATTGAAATTAAAAACAATGAAAATCGGAGATTTAAATCCAACTGATATGAAACTGACAGTAACGGAGACAGTAACATATGAAGTTGAAAATAAAAATAAAGTGAAAACAAGTGCGTCTCGTACTAGTAATAAACTCAAAGCAACTTTGGATAATAAAAAGACATTTACTGCAACTTCTTCAACTATTTCATTTCCTAGTGTTTCAGTTTCATCTTCTCGTTATATTATATTACAAAAGAATAGTAAAATCACCATTACAGATATTACTGGAAGTTGTGAAAATACAGAACTTAATTATTGTGATTTTATTGCCAGTGACTCTCTTAATTCAATTACAATTGGTAATGAACAAAGAACAACATCACTCACAGAGGCAGTGCTTTCTACAGAGAAAGGACAAGTTGTTAGAGTGATGAAAACAGGACAAACAGCAATGAATAAAACAGTCTTGTGTTCAATTGATAAAAATGATGATAATTCGTTTGATAAACAATTCACTGCTGTAGAATGTCCATGTTCACTTAATAAAGATGATGTCAATCCAATTTCTACTACTGACAATACTCGTGCAGAATGTGTTTATGTTGTATCATCAACAATAAACACAGTCACTTTAAAAGGGAGAAATGACTTAAAAGAAAAGTTAATAGTTGATTCAACTTCAAACACTGTTAGTATTAAAGATGTTACTAAAATATCAAATATTCAAGATAATATTAAAGATGTTACTAAAATATCAAATAGTCAAGATAATTCAAATACAATTTCATTGACAGGTGTAGATAAATTAGAGTCAATTTATATTGGAGGAAGTGTAAATAAACTTACATCTAATTTACCATTAATAACAACTAGTTCATTCAAAGCATATTCAGTAAACAATAATATTAGTACTTGTTTTGAATTAACATTGAAAGAGTTTGAATATGGAAATAAAGATAGATTAATTACTGTTACAAATGAAAATACAAATGAAAATACAAATGAAAAACAAGTTGAAATTACTATTGAAACTATGAAAGTAAAATCAACTTTACTTTCTATAATTAATAATGGAAATAAATACTCTCTTAAACTAACTGTTTCTAAACTCGAATCATCTTTAAGTCAAGATATTCCAGCATTATTACTTGATGGATTAAATAATCATATCACATTTACTGGTAATAATCAACAACAAATACTTTCATGTGATGGAAAAATGTTATTTACTTCAAAATTGAGTGATGAAGAAAGTAAAATAACATGTTTATTATATCATGACTATTATTCTGTATGTACAGATAAAGAAGATGAATGCAATTCTAAAAAGTTACCAACAAAGATTATTAGTACTAAATCAAACACAGAATCAACTAAATTAACACTTAAATATGAACATGAGTTGATAGAATGTAAAACATCTGATTGTTATATTGAATTAAATACGGACTCTAGTGTAACATCTGAATCAATTAATTATACTATTAAATCAACTTATAATGGAGGATCTACTATTCATCTTACTGGACAAACAAAAAATCTTATTCTTAATGTTGATAAAGTTAAAATTGTAAATAAAGCAAAAGACGATAATAATAAAGATAAAACACTTACAGTATATGGTAATTGTAATGGAATTGACACAGATACACCACTTATTTTAAATTCAATGACTATTTCAGGAGATATTAAAGCAAAAACACTTACTACAAGTGGCAATCTAACAGTTACTGGAAATAGTATCACTATTACAGAATCAACAACATTTGGAACAGGTAAGATTAATTGCAATAATGTTGATTTTACAACAAACACACTTTCATTTGTAAGTGGAAATGAATTTATATTTAAATCATTTAAAGTAACAGCCACTGATAACAACAATAGTAATAAAAACACAATTCCTGAACATTTCTTAAATTATAATAAAGAGTGCACATTTACAGATAGTAAAGTTATTCCTGTTAATTCATATCTTACTCAAAGTACTGATAATAACAAACAACCAACATATAAATGTTATACAATTACTGATAAAAATATTGAATTAAACAAACAAACATCATATCTTAATCCAGAGTCTCATAAATGTACTGATGGAAAAACATTAATTCAAATCAAATCACCAAGTGTTATTGCATCTGGAATGAAGAAATTTGATATTGGAGTAGATACGTATATTTCAGGATTAAGTGGTGTAATTTCAATTGAATCAACTTCTGATCATTCAATATCTGTATTTGGTGATAGTACAACTGAAATAACTATTAATGGGCATGGAAAAACAGAGACTGTTACTGTTTATTCACAATCTATAGTATCAGGATTTAATAATGTTATAGTTGCAACTAGCTCACATGTAACAATCAAATCAACAACAACAAGTGTCAGTGCATCAGTTAATAATGTTAATATAGATATTAAAGAATGCAGTCCAAAATTAACAACTTCATTAAACAGTGAAGTTATATTTAACCTTGATAATTCTAATACATTTACTGTTGATACTACTAAAAACATTGTTGTTAAATCACATTCTAAAATAACTAATATTCCAACAGACTGTATAAGTAAATGTAATGATACTGTTATTTTCAGCAAAAAAGAAAAAGGAAATGATTATGTTTGTCAACCAATCACTTTTGAAACGACATATTCAGACAATAAATTGGAATTAAATCCATGTACAACTAGTGATATTCCATGTTCTGGAATAATTTATATTAATGACAAAACAAAAACAACATCAATTGATCTTACAAAAGTTCATGCACAAAAATTAAAAATAATAAATTCGTTAAGTACTTCTGTTTCAATCACTCTTCCAACTGGATTGAATGATTTAACATTGAATGGTCTATTCACAATTACTAAAATTCCACTAGATTTAACAATAGAAGATGGAAATGTTATTGGTACAATTACTCAATCTAGTGATGTTTCAACACCATCAATTAATGTTGAAAAAGGTACATTCACGATTAACACTAAACAAGACATAACTCTTACATCAATTAATGCTAAGGATGGTTTAATTATCTTTAAAAATACAGACACTAATACAATAAGAACAATTACAATTTATGGAAGTATTTCTGTTAATGAAATGACTATTATGAAAACTAAATTTGAATGTACATCAACTGTTACTTCTATCTCAATTAACAAATTGAATGTACAAGATTCTAAAACATATCAAAACGTAAATAACAGTATATTCAATGTTCATAGTTCATTTACTGGCATAACCATTTCAAATATACCAACAGCATGTGTTTACGTTTGTAATTTAAGAAATGTAATTGGAACATTGAGTAATGTTGAAATTGAAGGAGCAACTCAAGAAACTAATATATTTTATAAAGGATGTAGTGGTTTATTAATTCCAAAAATTGAACAATGTGAAATTACTAAATCAACAAGTATTGATGTTTCAGATTCACAAACATACACACTTCCATCATTATGTCCTAATAATAATCTTCCTCTCGTTTTAACAACTAGTTCTGATGATAAAATTAATGTTCAAGGATTTGATGGAGTATATAAAGAAGTTAAAATGTCAAATGACTGTTCAATTAGTTTCACAGGAAGTACACAATTAAATAGAATGGTAATGAAGAAAAACATAGAAATTCATAGTGATTTTCAAATTGATGAAATAATTACAAGTGAGACATCAAATAATATTATAATAGGATCTAAAGATGTTTATGTAGGAACTATTAATACTGATAAAAGTAAATCAAATATTAAGATTGAAATTAAAGAAAATAGTAAGATTAGCATAGAGAATGATGTTGTTATTTCATCTCTTATTCTTGATGACATAAGTTCAAGAATTATAACAAAAGATAAATTAACAACAAGTTCTATTCAATTTAAGTCTATTAGTCCATCTACTCTTCCACTTATTATTTCTGATATACTCACATTCACAACAATGGATATAACAACTACTAATAGTATCACTACAAATGTTCCATTAATCCAATTAAATCATTCAACAAATGGCAATACAAAACTACCAAGTAATGTATATTTTGCATGTCAAGACACAATGTATGTATATATTGCAGAATCAAGTTATTATACATGTCCACTTCCATACACATGTACTGATACTACTAATTGTCAACATCAAACAGGTAAAAAATGGAAACAACAATACATATATTCAATAAGTAAAGATGGTGAATTAACATTTGAAGATAATAGTGAAGCTACTAATGGATATGATATTATTGAAATTTCAAAAGGAGATGCAAATATTAATATCAAAGGAGGAAGTTATTACATTCGTAGTGACTCGAAAAACAATACTGTCACATGTTCTAATGAATGTACAATCTATATTGAAACAACATCAATTGATAATGTTGTTAATTTGGTAATAACAGAATCGAACATCCGTGTTAAAGATTCACAGAAAGAAACATACATTAATGTACTTGATAAGAGTAATGGAAAAATGGAAGTACATTTAGATGGAATTTATAACACACAATTCCATTTGAAAGGGAAAGCAGGAAATATCAAGTTATTAGGAATTAATGTCTTTAATGAACTTATTCTAGAAGGGTCAATAATCAAATCAGACAATTCATTTGATATTGACAAAGTTACATACAAATCAGGAACATTTGAGTTATCATCACCAAATAACATAGCAAGTATCTCACAATTCAATTATGAATCAAATCATGAACCAAGTGAAACATGTACTTCACTTATTTCACATCAACAAGATCAAATTAACAATGGAGAAATATCATTTAAGATTAGAAGTATCACCAATTCTAATGAGAAAGTGAAGTTGATAGAATGTGGAGGAATTGTTCTTCAAGAATGTAAAACAGATACCACAACATATAATTGTCCACCTATTAGATGCTCATATAAACAAGAAAATAAACTTCCTACTGGATGTTATTGCACATATTCACTTATAAGTAAACAAGAATGTATATTTGATTGTGAGAATGAGAATGAATGTACATTCAATGATCCTGTAAGTAATTCGTTGATAGAAAAAATAACTAACTATGGAGAACGTATTGTAATGCAATCTGTTTCAAGTGTTTATAGCATGAATATCAATGAGACTATAATTGAATCAAAATTCCCAATAAACATTTATGAAATAACAGATGGAGAAGACAAAAGAATGAGAATCACAGGAGTGACGTTAAATGTTGATTCTATTACAATGAGTAAAGGAACATTATCATTAGAAACAGATAACAGCTTTACAAGAAGAATTGAAGTTACAGGAGGACAAATAGAGGTTAATAACAAGATTACATTTAGTGAAAGTAATAAGCCATTGGTTGAAGTAGAAGGAAATGAAGAAGTGAAAGAAAGAGGTATTTTCATAACAGGAGGAATAATAAAAATTGGAGAAAAAGGGAAAATAATAATGAAAGGAGGAATTAAAGAAGATGGATATGTTAATAACATTAATATCAAAAATGCAATAATAGAAATAGAAGGAAATAGGAGTGATGAAGATATTATTGTTATAGAAAATGGAGGAGATGTGAATATTGAAAATATTACTGTGAACATAGTTGGAGAGAATAAAGGAGATAAATGCTTTAATTTAATACGAAACAATGACATTGAACGAATCACATTAATAGGTTCAAGTGGAGTAGTTCTTGATTCACAACGATATATCTTATCTGCATGTCCAAAAGGAGTTGAAGCAAATGTTCAAGAACTAGCGTGTTCAAATATAGAAAACAAAGAAAATATAACTACGGAAGTAGAATGGGAAAGAAAAACATGTCCATGTTCAGGAGATAAGTGTATAATTGATTTTTCAGCAACAACAAGTGTAATATACAAATTGCCATCAAATGAAAAATATGAAGGATTGAAGATATCAGAAGATCAAATTAGAGGAGAAGATGTGAAAATTAGTCGAGTAGAGGTTTCAGGAACATCAACACTTACTATGAGCAATTGTAGTATAAGTAGAATGAATATTAAAGGAGATAAAATGAAAGAAGTTGTAATGACACTTAAAAGTAATAATAACGAGAAAAGTTATATAGAAGAGATAGTAGGTAATGGAACATATTCAAGTGTTGTTATTGACACTGGAGAATTGACAATAGGTAGAATTGAAGGAGTTAATGTAGAAGTTACATCAAATGGATATTTGAATATCAATAAAGAAGCCAATTTTAAAGAACAAAAGATTGACATTGAACATACATACATTGATATTCTGACTGATGATGTTGATTTCACTGATGCAATAATTACAATCAAACCAATAAACAATAACAGTGCTAATTTGAATATTGGAGATGAAATTGGAGGAAAGACAATGACAACAATAAAGAAGAGTGTCATCAATGTTTATTATGAAGAAACAGGAAGTAAAACATTGTTAGTAGTCATGAGATTACCAAAAGAAAATGAAATAAAAGTAGAAGAATATCAAATAAATAAAATTTCAAATAGCAGAAGTAGAAAAGAAGAAGGAGATTCATATCAATTCAAAGTAGCATGTCATGGCATAGTATTAACAAATCTTGAAGATAAAGACATTGTATGTCCAGAAGACAGACTTGCAGGATATGTTAAAAATACAGAATTTCCTAAATGGACAATTGGAGTTATGGTTATTTTTGTCATAGCATTGATTGTGATTGTTGTTGTTATCATTGTTTATGCTGTGTATGTTTACTTAGAAAGAAGGAGAAATTTGAAAGTCTTTTCAGAAGGAGAAGAAGTTGAAGAGAGTAAAGAAGAAAGTAAAGAAGAAGAAAAAATAAATAATTGAACAGAATATTAATAACAAACGAATTTGATTTTTGTTTTTTCAACAAAAGAAAGATTAACAAAAAGAAAGAATAGAAGATAAAAAGCAATGAAATAAAAGAATACGCATTAAACACATTCATCAATTGATCAAATGAATAATAACTTTTGAAACAAAACATCGAGAAATACAAAAGACATAAACAATGAAAAATAAGAAAAGAAAAATACAATGAGAAAAAAAGAAAGTCAAGAATCATTAAAACATAATTTAACAAATAACAAATTAAAACAATAGTGTTATGTGAAGAGTTAGACATTCTGTTATACAATAAACAAATATTGAAAGAGAATAATTTTTTAAATGGAAATTAATACAACAAATAAAACTTTATGTTAATTAATAACCGTTTTATATTATTTTTCTGATTCATTGTCAATGTTGTTCAACTAAATAAAGAGACTCAAACTATTATAGTTATGTGTTTTAATTTTATTTATTATCAACATCTTAAAAACAAAAATTAATCAATTTTATGTTACCATTACTGGCTGTATGTTGTTATTTGTTTAGTTACGATTTTGAACATTGAGTCTTATTATTGTTCATCATTTCAGTACATTTCAATCCAAAAAGGTATTTTTCATTTAATATAAATCAATTCTACATTGTTTGAAAGATAATTACTATTACTATTTATTATAATATTTATATATAAATGTATGTCTAGAAATACTTTTTATTGAAAAACAACTTCTAAACAGTCAGTTTATATCAATCCATCTAGTCATTACTCAATCTTAAAAATATACAAAAACAAACATAAGTTAATGAATGAGCAAAAAATAAATAAATTTGTTATTTTTGATTAAGATAAAGATAATTGAAATGAAAATACTTCTGTATTAAACAATTGTTTTGCAAATAAAATATTTGTATTTATTATTGAATACAGATATGAAAAACATATAGTTGAATTCTTGAATCTCAAGACAATGATGTAGACAGCCAGATGGATGTGTTTGATGCCTTTTTATTTTCATTGCTGTCTCTTGAAGAATATATCAAATTATCCCATTCAAATATTCTACTTTATTTAAAAATACAATGAATAGATTATTTACTTTGTTTAAATTTCATAGAGTATGTGTTATGAAAATAATATAACATGTCTTGTCTTTCAACTTTACTTATGTATGAAACTTATTTGTTTTAGTGTTTGAATCAAATAAAGTTCGTTTTACTCAGGAATGTATCATAATCATCTAAATCTCAATTAATAACGAATTAACTCACTTCATCTTTCATTAAATTACTTCTTATTAAAATACTTGTTTTCTTTTGTAAAGGTTACTTGACAAAACATCAGAATAAAACACTTGTTGTTAGTCATTCTATAAATGTATTATAAAAATTAGAATGATGAACTTTCAACATTTGGAATAACCAATGTACACATTATTTGTTGATTTGTATTTACTGAAAATATGATGAGTTATACAATAACAAAAGTATTTCAATTTCATAAAATAACACCAATTTAATATGAGGAATTTAGTCTGGTTGTATCAATATTAAAAACAATTATAATATCCTCATTTATATTGCAATACTATCTCTAATCATTCAGTAATAACAAAACAAGTATAACAGCTCTCATATAACATAAACAATAATCACATTACCACTTGAAATGATAAATTATGTGTATTTGTGTTGTAGTTATAAAATGAATATGACATATAAAGTCTTAAAAAAACGGTATGAAGCTGTATTAAAACCAATGTTTATTTAAACACAAAACACTAATTTTAATTGTTATTAAACCATCAATTTTCATTAAAACTTCGTATCAGAGTCTATAACCAACATGTCAAATTCTATTTTCTCAAAATCAAATATTCAAATAATTATGTTTAAAATGGCTTCAATACCATCGAATAGACTAAATAGGTTCATTCAAAACATGAACTTGTTATTTTGTGACTAAATAATAATTACTCTTCTTTATAAATTGGCAATTATCGATCTTCATAGAATAAGTACATCCATATAGTAATTCTTGTTTTATTTTCATGTAATAGAATAGTGAAGAACAAGCATGCAATGATTACAGAATAAACAGATAAATCATTCAAAAGAGTACAATATCTTAATCAACAAGAAATATAAATTGAAATTAAGTTTTAACAAAATATAATTCATAACAACACTCAAATAATTAACAATATTTTACCATGAGAACAAACCAATAGAACCAAGAAACTACCAAATGGTGTTGTAATGAATTTTAATAGCTACAAAACAACTAACAAACAAAAAGTCTGTGGAAAGAATAAACAGACTCAACTCAAAGTCTAATCAATGAGAAATTTATAGAATTATGATTTGATATAAAAAAACGTGTTATATAACACAAATAAACTAAAAATAAAGACGGTAGAAAAGAAAAAAAAAGAAACTTCAAAAGAAATACAGAACTTAAAAAATAAAACTGGAAAAGTAAAAAGTGATGATCTCAAATTTGAATGATCAATTTGAAGCATTTTCTATGGATCATGAATCATTTCCATCATTTAGAGTTTGTTTTTGGTGATGTAATAGAGATAGAGACATGAATAATAAAAAGTTAACAAAATAAAATGAAAAGACAAAACTAGTTAAAAAAAATGTTTTTAGAGAAAAAGTTTTCCTGCTCTAAAAAAGAAGTTAATTTGTCAAGTAAATGTAGAAAAAAAAAAGAACTAACAGTTTGTAGGGAAATGGATCTCCAATTAACGAAGATAAGAATGAAGATATTCCTGAGTTCATTACACAATTGCTTGATGAACAAAATGATTTTGAACCACCTAAATCACACACATCTTTTACTGAGCCACATACACCAAGTTCAACAAAATATATTTCTGATTTGTCTGTATCAGAACCAAGTGCACCAATTAGTCCATTTCGAAATTTATCGTCTACATTCCTTACACAAAGGAATCAAAGGATTTGTAAATTCTATCAAATTGGTCAGTGTAAATTCGGAGATAATTGTAAATTCCTTCACATTAAAACACCATCACAAGAAAAAATTATTTCAACACAAACACATCATTTTGACATGATTTCACCAACTAATGTTTGTATTAGTGATTTTGGAAGTGACTTTTCTAAGATGTGTCATGATCAATATGGATGTCGTTATCTTCAACGACAATTAGAAGACAATAATCCACAAACAACAAAATGTATTTTTGAACAGATGTTACCAATTATCACCCTCTTAATGTCAGATCCATTTGGGAATTATTTATGTCAAAAGTTAATTGAAGTAGTAAATAGTGAACAACGAATTCAAATAATTACAAAAATCACACCAACATTTTTTATTATTTCAAAGAATATTCATGGAACTCGTTCAATTCAAAAGTTAATTTCATGTTATTCAACTAAAGAAGAACAAAATATGTTGATAAATGTTATTTCACCATATGTTATTGAATTAATTTTTGATTCAAATGGAAATCATGTTATTCAAGAGTGTTTAAAAACATTTGGAAAAAGTGATAATAGGTTTATTTTTGATGCGATTGTGAGTGATGGTAATTTAGTAAAAGTAGCAACCCATAAACATGGATGTTGTGTTGTTCAACGATGTATTGATTATGGAAATAGACAACAATTAATTACTTTAATAGATGAAATTGTAAAAAATTCATTAGTTTTAGTTAAAGATGCATTTGGAAATTATGTTGTACAATATATATTAAATGTAGATATTGTAGGAGTTATTAATGATGTAACAAAAATGCTTCTTGATGATTTAATTGATTTATCAATGCAAAAGTTTTCATCAAATGTAATTGAAAAATTAGTACGTTCAGATGAAATTGAAGCAAGACAAATGATATTTGATAGATTTTTACAAATTAAAGATGTAACTAAACTCTTACAAGACTCATATGCTAATTATGTGATTCAAACATGCTTAGACCAAAGTTGTTTGTTTTCTTTTATACATTCTTTTATTATTTATTGTCTTATAATACCAAATTAATATTAAATATTTTAGCTGTTGAATATCATTCAAAATTATCAAATTGGATTATTCCTCATTTATCTGCTATAAGAAATACTCCATATTATAAGAAAATTCAAAACAAACTTCTTCGAGATGAAAACAAACAACATCATAGTGTAAATTAATAAAAGTAAAATTATGTTCTTTGTACGTTCTTTACTACTAGACTAATTTATGATTTGTTTCATTCTTTTCTTTTTGTCATTTGAGTGGTATTTCACAAAAACTAAAAAATAATTTTAAATAAATAAGCATTTAATTAAGTATTGATAGAATTGGTTGCTATTTCTCTGCACCAGTATTCCATGACATCTATCATATTTTGTATTACATGGAGTTTTTAATTTCTTTTTCGATGTCAATGTCAATTTTTAATTCTTTAATTAATTTATTACTTTCTTTATTTATTAATTCATTGATTGAAATTACTACTGGATTTATTTTGACATCTTTTAGTTTCTCTATTTTCATTAGAATATTCTTTAATTCTTTATACTTATTTCTTTTCTTCCAATAGGCTCCATTAATATTGTGATAAGCCACAATAGTCATATCAAATATTAGACCAGTTTTATTCTTTTTATCTAATACATATATGTCTGGTCTTTTGTGGTATTGTCCATCACTTTTATGCATGATTTGTTTGTTCCATATCATTGTGATGTCTTTATATTTGAATATTGTTTCATATGGTGGTTTTTATATTGAATATTTCCTGTATATTTTCTTATTAATCAATATTATAATGCCAATATTGTCATATTTCTCCATTTGTGATTTTTTATGATAAATACAAGATAGTAGAATATGTTCTACTGTAGCTATCTTGTCTTTACAAAGTGTTGAGTATTTTAATCTTTCATTTTTCATTATTTTTGATTTTCTATACCCACAAAATATTGCTCCATCTTGCATTTTAGTTAATTTGAGAAATGCATTCTTCTTAATATTGATTGACTTCCATGCTTTCACTGTAGTAGTTTTATCTACTCCTTTTGACTCGAACCATCTTCTAAAATATCCACTAATTTGATGATACTTCCATTTTTTGATGTATTTGTCAATAAGAATTAAGAAATTAACATAAAAAAATAAAAAAATATAAAAATTCAAATCACAAAAGATGAAATAACAAAAATAAAAAATACTAAAAATAAAATAAACTAATTATAGAAAATAACAATATTATTATTATATTATTATTATATTATTAATATTATTATATATTTATTGTTATTGTAAAAATAAATAACATTTATTTAAAATAGAATGATGTTAAAAATAATGATTGACTTGATGTGTTAATAACATATTTTAACTATTTAATCATATTTTGAACTTATAAACATCAAATTATATTAAAATGAATAAGGTGCATATTAAACAAATAGAAGAATTGACAGAAAGAAGAATATCAAATATACTATTTGATTCAGATGTTGATGATTGGAATAGAAACACATCAGTATTTGAAGAAAGAATATGGAATAAAGAACATATAATAATTATTATTGAAGATGAAGAAGAAAATAAATTTGGAGGATATGTTAATGAGAAGATTGATAAAGTTGATGAATGGATATATGATTCAAAATCATTTTTATTTTCATTAGAATCAAATGGAAGAATGAAAGAATGATGAAATTTGATATTAAACAATCACAATATGCATTTACTTTATTGAATAAATCACATGTTTGTTTGTTTGCATTTGGGTTTGGATATGACATTTGTGTTCGTAAAGAAAATGATAAAACACTATCACATTGTAAACAAAGTTCATTTGAATATGAAGGAATATCAAATGCACTTTGTGGAAAAGAACTTCCAAAATACTTCACACAAAACGAATCATAGTAATTGAAATGAAATGATTCAATCTTGATTAATTGAAAATGAACTAAAAAAGAATAAAAACAAATCAATGAAGAATATGAACAGCCATTTCATTCATCTGCCAATGAATGAAATGGTGAATTAAAAATGGAAATAATTCAATGTTGATTTATTTTATTTCATTTGAAATATTCACACACAATGATGGTGTTTTTAATCAATAAGAAAAGAAATAAGAATGAAATAAAATGAAATGAATAAACAAATTATTTGTATTATTTCATTGAATTAATTCATTATGAATCAAATGAATAAGATAATAGAAATAATAAAGAAATAAATAAAGAAAAGATAAAATACATCAACATATTTATGTTATTATTTCTTATTTCTTTATTTTATTATTTTATTTTCTATTTAATCAATAATAAACAAAACATAATAAGAAAGATAAATAAGAATAACACAACATAAAATAAAGAATAAGAATAAAATATACAACAAACATGAATAAACAAGAAATGACAAATGATAAAAGAAGAACTAAATAAAATAACAACAAGAATAAAGAAAATAGAATAAAATAGAAATAGAATAAATTAAGTGATGTTTAAGAAAAGAGGAAAAGACAAAAAGAATAAATGAGTGATGATTATAAAAGATAAAAATAATATAATAAATATAAAATCAAAATTAAAATAACATAATAATATAATAACAATATCATTGATTTTATCTTATTTTATTCTTATTTTATTTATCTTCTTTCATTATTTTTATTCTTCTATTTTATTAAATGAAAATTAATGAGAAATGAAGAATGAAAATCAGAAACAACCCACAAACATTAATACAAAATCAAATAATGAAATATCAAATAATAATTGATTATGATGAAGTAATTTAATAAGAAATATAATAAATAATAATAGAAATAATGAAATAAGATAATATGAAATAATAATAAGAAAAGAAAAAGATATAAATGATGATATTAATACCAAATGAAATTATACATAATAATACAATGATAATGAAATATTCATTCATTAAATAAGAAATAAAGAAATGATAATTCAATGAGAATAACTAAAATGATGAAATTAAATAAAAATAAAATCAATTAAAATAAAAGAATAATGAAGAGAAATCAACATTCTCATTAATGAAAAACAAAAGAATAAAAGAAGAATAAACAATAATAAAGTATAAAGAGATGATGTGATTAATATTTGAATAAAGAAAAATAGAAAATAAATAATATCACTTATTTATCTTTGTTTTACTTATTTTATTGTTTGTTGTATTTATGATTTATTCTTTATTTATACCATTATCATAATTATTTTATTTCAGACACTTTTCCAATGCCAACATAACAACAAATTTTAATGTCATGGATATTGTGTAAAACATTTGTGTCTTGTAAAGAAAACCAAACAAAACATAGAAATTTAACATCATATAAAAGAATGAATGTCAATAACAATAATTGACATAACAACAATAATAAAAGTAAATGAAATAACAAGGAAAATGGATTAGAAGAAGAAAGATACAAATAAAAACAAATAAGAAACAAGATAAATACAATAATAATAAAGATAATACAAATAACAAATATAAATGATTAACAATAAATGAGATACAAGAAAGAATAAAAAGAATAATAAGTGAATGGAACAAAGGGAAGTATGAAGAAATACATAAGAAGTAAGAAGATAAAAGAAAAAGATGGTATGATAATCAACAAGAAGTATATTCAATCAAAAAAGATAATTGAAAAAACTAAAGAAGAAATTAGAGAAAAAAAAAACAAAATACATTGAAGAAAAAGACATTAAAACAAATGAAGAAGAAATTAAAAAACAAAATACAAATAAAGAAATGAATGATAGATGTAAAATTGCAAGAATAATAAATAAAAAACAAAGTACAATGAAAATATAAGAAGAAATACAACAAAAGAAAGAAATCAAATTTTAATTGAAGTGTTGTATTGTTTTGCAATTAATTGGTTAAATAAGAAATTATATAAGAAATTAAGATGGGAACAAATAGAAAGTATAATAAAAGCAATAAACATCAATGTCAATAGTGAAAAAGAATATATTAATTATATTAAAATATCACATAAAATAAAAGAAAGCACTAAACAGTACATTAAAGTGAAAGTAAATAATATAATAGAAGGAAGAGTAGAGTGTGATTCAATAATAAAAAATATCATATTAAAGAATAACTCTACTGAAATTGATGAAGAATACCTTAACACTCTCATCAATAAAATAAAAGAAATGAAAATAGAAAATGTTCAAACATTAATTACTACTGGAAAAGAAAATAAGCTGACTGATTAATAACGGAAATTAATAATAGATGGGTATGGTCAGGAAGCAGAATGGATTATCTGCAAGATGATATGAATATTTCAATGGTTATGCACCTCTATCTCCAAAATAAAATAATAAGAGATAAATTTGATGAAATAAAAGAAATCCTAAATAAAATTAATAGAATAGAAGATTTGGTCAATGAAATTGTACAGAATAAAGTGCATCATGAAATTAAAAGAAAATGATGAAGAAGGAATAAAAGTTAAAGCACTAGAAAGAATAAAGTACCTAAAACATATGATGACAATGATTAAAGAAAGAATTAAATTTAATAAAAATGAAATAATCAGAATCAATACAAATAAAATCATGATTGATTCTAATAAGAAAATTAGAATAAAGAAAAAAGACAAAAACTAAAAAAAAAAATAAACTAAAAAAGAAAAATTGTGAGTGAATGGAAAATAAAGAAGTTATTACTAAATCTAATGGAGTAAATAAACGATATGTTGTTAGACTCATAAAAAGTGATGACTTTAACATTGAAGATAAACCCATTTTTATTGATTTGTCATGGAGATTAGATATTGTTTTGGCATATAAAAATGTATATAAATTAATTCAACCTCAATTTATTATTCAAATTGATGTTGCTGATATTACATTAGCAAAGAAAGACCAAAAGAAAGTAATACAATCAGATGGGTCAGTTAAGGTAGCATTAAGTTCATTAAGAAAATCAATTTATTTTGAAATGACCCCAATGGTATTAAATGAAGTAATTAAAGAATTAGAAAAAGGAATTGCTGAATTACGTTCATTAAATACAAAACAAATATTACATAATGCATTAAAAAATAGTCAATAATTTAATTATTTGTTTATTTCTTGAAATGTTTTAATTAAAAACAGCAACATTATCTAATAAAATTTCACCATCAAAAAGAATCTCTAATTCATCAATTTCTATTGGTTGTTGTTGTGTATTAAAAACAAATTCAAATAATTGTAAAAAATACACTTTACTCAATGTAAATGGTGTTTTAGATTGTGGAATACCTGCATATTTAAATTTAGCAATTTCTTTTACATTTTTATTTGAATGAATGAGTATTGCATTATTATAATTTGATGAATTACCAACTTGATAAAAATTAAATTCTATTCCTTTTGCATAGATTGGTACATTAAATAAATATTTAATAGAACATTTCTTATGACATTGAAGATTTCTATGAAATCGTTGATAAGCATTTTGATAATAAAGTCCAACATATGAAGAATTAGTAGAAATAGTAATATTAGGAGAAATCTTTCCATTAGAATCTATTAATATATCATTGTTACTTATAAATGTATTGAAATAACCAGAATTCATAGGAAGAACTTCATCAGCAATTTTAAAATCTTGTAACATCTTATAATTAATACAATTAGAATTTAAACTACACATAAAATGACTTCCAATGAAAAGAGAAACAATATAATCAAGTTGGGTTTTTGAAATATAATTTGATTGTATTGGAAAAATATTATCAAGAATAATATGATTATTTGGTTCTTCATAAATTATATTAAAATCATTAGGATTTCCACGTTGAATAAATAAACTACCTGTATAATAAAATGGACGATTAGAATTTAAAATATTTGTTTGATTAATAAATATTAAATCAGGTGATTCAAAAATTGCATAACTTGATAAAAAAGGATTAGGATATGTACTGATAGATGGGATTGTTTCAATAAAATAAGATTGTATATCATTCATTATATTATGTTTTATTATTTGATTACATGACAATCCACTAAATGAAATAACTTTAATAGTTATAATGTTCCAATCTTTTAATAATATTGGAAACGTCTTATTTCTATTCATTACTTCTATTAGTCGTATCCCAACTGCACCACCTTCTCTATCTCCAACAATACCAATTTCTGACATGTCAACAGTAAAATTAAAATAATTATTTAATGCAACATTAAGATATTGAAGAATATTATATGTTAAAATACTTCTTGCTTCAATATAAGCTTCTTGTGTAGTAAGATTATAATTTTTACTAATAATGGTTTTATCGTTAAAATCTTTATCAAAAAATGATGAATCAATGACAATGCCAATCAAATCATTTTGTGCAAATGTCTTTTGAAGATAATCATATCCATCATCACTATTAATAAGATTTCCAAGTTGATGTGGTAGAATAATTACTGATTTAAAATGTGATGTTTTGTTTAATCTAAGAATATCTTTAGGGAAATAAACTTGACCATTTAAAGGAATTATTCTACTATTCAAATGATAATAATCTTGAGATGTAATAGATAATTCAATAAATCTAGACATATCAATTGTTGGTGTTTTGATAGTTGGGTTAGCATAACATTCTCTATAATAATTCTTCTTTCCACATCCAAATGTTATTACTTCAATATCTCGTGTTATTATTGGAATATTTGTAATTTTTATTGAAGAGTTATTCTCAACTGAATTAAAAGAATCTGGAACAACAATTGATTTGAAATAGAGAATACTTCCTCTCCAACTTAATATTGTAGTAATTCCTGATGTTAACATAATAAGGAAAAAGATTAATGTAGCAATATAATGATGTTTAAATAATGATGTTATACATTTCTTTAATACGTTCATCCATTCTTTTGGATTTTTACAACATAAGAAAATTGTATGAATAAGTGCTGATAATAAAAAAAGAAGAAAAGCAAGGAATGTTATTGTTGAATAACTCACCAAATAAAAACTACTTGAATTTGGTTTTAAATTAGGAATTACTGAAACAATTAAAGATGTTACTATTCCAATAAGACTCATTGAAATAAATAATGAAGCAGAAAATATGATTCTTTTGTATAAAACATACATTAATGCATTTAATAAAACCAATGTTATTTCTAATATTTTTGTTATTATAATACATCCAATAATTAATACTGAAAGAATTAAAACAGAAATAACAAATGTTTGAATATAAAGAATCCTAAAAGTATTTTTTTGTTGAATAAGTAAATAAATTAATATTAATGTTATAATTGATGAAATACAACAAAATATTAATGAAAATACTTTTATTGAAACTAAATGTTGGTCAATAAATTTTCTATATTTTTCTATCATTCTATTTAATATCGTTTTATTTACTTTTTCATTTGGAACTGGTGGATATATTTTTTCAATCATTTTATTGATTTTGGGTAATTTAAATACAAATGTTGTTGAATTATACTTTGAATAAACTTTTCCCATTATTTTTGTTATAATTGAAGATTCATGTAATCGTTGTTGAACAAATGGAAATAATAAAATTGTTTGAATACTAAAGATAATTACCAATAATAATACTTCACTTACTCCTATTATCAATATTTTCTTAATTTCTTTTGTATCTGGTGTTGTTTTCAATAATACATAAGTAAATATATAACTAAATAATAATATTACACAGACAATTGTTACAGTTAATCGTTTATACCAATTATGTTGTTTTGTTGTTATTTGAGAATATGATACTTCATTATTATCACTATTATTTTCAATAAGAATATTAGGAGACAAAACCTCTTCTTTCATTTCAATTTCTTTGTTTATTTCATAACTATTAGGTAAATTATTATTCATAAAAGAAAAAGAGTATTTCTGATTATCTTTTCTTCTCATTTTTCATTTTTATTTTTTTTATTTTTTTTATTTTTTCATTTTTTCATTTTTTTTATCTCGTTTCTTTTTTTCTAATGGTAAAGTTAATCCTCAAAGAAAAAGATTAAAACAGAAGAACTTGAAATAGAAATATTATTAGATAAGTATGAATTGGTTCAATACAAATCCTTTCACAGACTTCTATGTTGCAATTACTCATCTTAAAAGGGAGAACAAATTTCCAACAAATTATATGAATAGTATCCATGATGGTAAAACAAAAAAGTATTTTGCTGTACCAATAACATTTGTAAAGAATATTCATGATGCAGCAGTTGCTTATAGTTCATTAAATGAACAAGATAAACAAGAAATGGAAAAATTATATAAATTACCTAAAATAGATACAGCATTAGGATTAAGTGATGAAAATGGATATCTCAAAGGAGAAGTAAAAGAGAACATAGATTATTTATTAATTAGTAAAAAGAATAAGAAAATGATAAAAACACTCTATGGATTTTTTGATGAAGATATCAAATTTCCTAAATTACCTAAAGTTTATATTTATAAAACACAAGAACATATTATTAAAGAAAGTATTCCAATACATTTAACTGTTGTTTTTCATTTTATTGGACTTGATCATAAAGAAAATAAAAGTGAATATATAGGAGAAATATATAAAAATATTACTATTTCAAAAGCAATTGAGAAATTACAAAAAGACTTTCAAATTGATGTTAACTTTACAAATTATAAAGTTAAAGTAATGAAAAATGAAGAAGAAGAAGTAGAAGATTTAGAAAATATTATATCATCAATTCTTATTGATTCAAATGAATTAAATAAAGTTCATGTTCAAATTATTGAAAAACAACCAACAATACCAAATATAAATTATCCATATGAATCAAATGTTAGTTCAAAATATTCTGGATATTATGGAATTAGAAATGAAGAAGAACCAAATGGAATAAAAGGTGTTTGTGGATTACATAATTTAGGAAATACATGTTATATGAATTCTGCTATTCAATGTTTAATTCATACAACTCCATTAGTTCAATTCTTTCAAAAAGATGATTGGAAAAAAGATATTAATTTAAATAATCCATTAGGAACATCAGGTAAATTAGTTGAACAATGGAGTCAATTATTAAGAAAATATTGGTCAGGATATTCTACTATTTCTCCTAAAGAATTTAAATTTGCTATTGGAGAATTTGCACCACAATTTAGTGGATATCAACAACATGATTCACAAGAATTAGTAGCATATTTAATTGATGGAATACATGAAGATTTAAATCGTGTTTTAAAGAAACCATATGTTGAAACACCAGATTATAATAATGAACCAGATGATGAATGGGCTGTGGCTGAATGGAATAGATATAAACAAAGAAATGATTCAATTATTACAGACTTATTTGCAGCACAACTTAAAAGTAAAGTTATTTGTGATGTTTGTCATAATACCAATATGAGATTTGATCCATATGTATTCTTATCACTTGCAATTCCAAATAAACAAAACTCAGTATCAATTTATGTTTGTGATAAGAATTATCAAAATACTAAAACAATTAAAATAAATATTAAAGGAAAAAACATTGAAGAAATTATTGAAGAATCAACAAAAGATATTTGTTTAAATACAAATCCAAATAATTTTGTTATTGTACAATTTGGATATGAAAAAAAGGTTGAAAAAATAATAACAAATGGTAAATTAGAAAAAGACATGGAATATGGTATTATTGAAAAACAAGACAATGAATCTGATTTTATTGTTTATGATTGTTTAATAAAATATGCTTCATATAGACAATATAGAATACCAATTGTGTTTGGTAAATCAATTAATAAAGAAATTGTTGATGAAAAAATATTTGAATTATTTAAAGATACTTATAAAAACAACGTAAATGCTTGGGACTCAAAAACTATTCTTTCTAATAAAAAAATTCATGAAGATGAAGAAGATGAAGAAGATAATATGAATAATAATATTAAAGAAAATCAAAATAATGGTACTTTAATTTTTAATAATAAACAATTAGAAAAAGAACAAGAAGAACAATTAGAAAAAGAACAAGAAATTGAAGAAAAAAAATGGTATTTTGAATTTAACGAAGAACATGAAAATATTATTCAATGTCAAAGTATTGATAGTGGAACATTTAAATATTTATATGACAGAGGATTGTCATATCGTTATAATCAAATTGATGGTGATCCTGTTACTCTTGAAGAATGTTTTGAAGCATTTGAAGTAGAAGAATTAATGGATGAAAATAATAAAGTGTATTGTTCTAAATGTAAAGAACACCAACCATCACATAAAAAAGTTGATCTTTGGAGTACTAATCAAATACTTATTATTCATTTAAAAAGATTTGGTAATAGCAATGGATATTCTCGTGATAAAATTACTACATTTGTTGATTTCCCAATTGAGTCATTAGATCTTACTCGTTTTGTTAAACACTATGACCCAACAACACCTCCAATTTATAATTTATATGGTGTTACTAATCATATGGGTTCTCTTGGTGGTGGACATTATGTTGCATCTGCTCGTGTTGGAAATGATTGGTATGATTTTAATGACTCAACCACTTCAAAGATTGAAGGAACAAAAGAAAATATTGTTTCAAAGAATGCTTATGTGTTGTATTACATTAGAAAAGATATTGACCAACAAACAAATATCAATACAGAAGAATTTACCAAAGAAGAAGGAAATGAAGTTCAAGAAGAATTAACACCAGAAAATGATAATGGCTTAATGAAAGAAATTTAAAAGAGAAGAGGAAGAAGGGAAGGAGAAAATAAATAATGATGACAATAATGACGAATATTCCTAATTCTAAAAAAGAAAATTTCAATTATTTTTATTTTTTAATAAAAAATAAAGAAAAAAAAATAATTTTTAGTATAAAACAAAACGAAAGAAACTTAAAAAGAATAAGGAGAATATGCAAGAGTCAGATGTATTTCACAACCAATTGAGAGTAGAAATGTTAAAAAAAGAAGAAGACGAAGTAGAAAATAATTCAGAAAAGAAAAAAGCACCAGGGATTGATATGAATAAAGTTAATTTAATAAAAACAAGAGATGAAGATATTATTGCAGAAAATATTAAAGCAGAACTTAAAGAAGAAGAAAAAGAAAATATGAAAGTTGAAGAAGAAGAAATAAAAGAAGAAGAAGAAAAGAAAGAAAAAGAAAATTATCCATGTATGCAAATTATTGATCAAGAAGGGATTTTTGCAGATGAAAACCAAAAAGATAGAATCACATTTGAAGAGTTTATTCAAGAAAATACAAAATTTAAAGAATTAGGATTTAATTATAATATGTTAAGCATTCTTGGACCACAAAATAGTGGAAAATCAACATTATTAAATTATTTATTTGATACAGACTTTGCAGTATTAAATGAAAAGAATGGAAGACAAAGAACAACAAGAGGAGTTTGGTTAGGACTAGTTGGGGATAGAAAAGATATTATAATTATGGATTTAGAAGGGTCAGATGGATCAATAAGAGAAGATGATTTATCATTTGAAAGAAAAATATCATTATTTAGTTTATCAGTTTGTAGTGTTTTAATGGTTAATATATGGTCACATGATGTTGGTAGATATGGAGCATCAAATATGTCATTATTAAAGAATATATTTGAACTTAATTTACAACTATTTCAAAAAGAAGATTCACCTAAAACATTAATTCTTTTTGTTATTCGTGATAGAGATCAAAGAAAACCATTTGAAAATACTAAAAGTGTATTATTAGAAGATATTATGAAAATTTGGGAAAGTGTTGCACGCCCAGAATGTTTTAAACGTGCACCTATTGATAAGTTTTTTGATTTAGAATTTACATCATTACCTCATTTTAAACATGATAAAGAATTATTTATTCAAGAAGCAAAAGAATTAAAAAAAAGATTTGATTGTAAAAATCAAAATACTTATTTTAGACCTATTTATAATAAAGAAATTCCAGCAGATGGATTAGCATTATTTACAAAACAAGTATGGAGTGCAATTAAATCTAATAAAGATCTTGACCTTCCAAGTCAAAAAGAAATGTTAGCAAGATTTAGATGTGATGAATTGATTGAAAATATTTTTAATGAATTTGAAAAAGAAATAGAAGAAATTAAACTACAACATTCTGAAAAACATATTTTTAATAATTTTAAGATATTTTGTGATTGTTTATATGATAAAAAAATGAAAGAATTTATGAATGTTGCATCTAAATATCTCGATAGAGTTGTTAAAGAAAAAGCTGATCTTCTTAGTGAAAAAATGTTAAATGAAATATCATATTTGTTTCAAACTCAAATGACTCTTGCTATTAACTATATTAAAACAATGCTTACTACAAGTTATTTCACTTTAAAAAATCAATATATCACAGAACAATCTTCTCTTTTTGATCCAACAAAATATGCTGGATATGCAGAACAAATGGATGATTTTAATAGTACAATTAAAAATGAATGGGAAAAAATATCAACTCAAAGCGTTCCTTCTAATATTGAAAATAATTTTGAAATAGAAATTAATACATTAGATAGATTTATTAATAAATTATATGAAATTGGAAGAAGAGACCTTATTGAAGCTTTAATGACTCATTTTAAAAAGCATTTACAAAACATTATGAAACCACTTCTTCTTCCTTTATTTGAACAATCAAATCAAAATATGTGGGAACAAGTTAGAAAAGTTGTTATTGAAACTACAAGTCAAAACCTTCAAGAATTAGAAAATGGAATGATTAATTCATTAAAAATGAATAAAGATGATGTTGAAAAAAAATTAAATGAACTTCAAGTTTATATTATTGATGCTGTAAGATCTACAATATTAGAAAGACCAGGATTTGTTAGTAATTTAATGGAAAATAAATTTATTTCCATCTTTAGATTAGACGATGAAGGTTTACCAAAAAAATGGAAACAAAATGAAGATCTTAGTAAACCATTCTTTAAAGCTAAAGAAGAAGCTGAAAAAATTCTTGACTTATTTTCTTATATTAGAATGGATCCTAAAGATGATGAATTATCTTTTATTTCTATTAACCCTGCAACTGGTAAAAAAATGATCATTGAAGAACCAGAAAATGGAACTATTGATCAAACTAAAGTTCTTTTTTCTTTAAGTGAAAGACTTAGTATTTATGAAGGATTTCAAAATATGGCTGAATCTAATTTTATCAGAGCACAACAAGAACTTGCTGCTATTACTGTTCATTCAAAAACTCCAATGTGGTTAATTCTTCTAATTGCATTTTTATCATTTGATAATATAGTATATGTATTTAAATCTCCTACATTACTTGCATTAACTTTAATTATTATTGGTATCATTTATTCATTAAATAAAATAGGTTATGCTTATTTGATTGACTCTGTTATTTCTTATATTCTTAGTATTTCTTGGTCAAGTGTCCTTTATCTAATTCAAGACCTTGGATTATTTAAAAATCTCTTACCTAAACCTGAAGCTCCAAAAAGAAAAAGACCTCAAAAGAAAACTCAAGACGATAAACCTAAATCCTCTATTCTTTTAACTCATAAAAAACAACCTTCTGTTATGGGTGATGTTACAATGGATAACATTGACTCATTAAATTCTTTTGATGATGCTTTTAAATTAGTCAGTCAAGATGAAAAACCTATTAGAAAACCTTTACATCCATTACCCAAAAGAGAAACTCAATCAATGAAAGTTATGCCTATGTCAGCTTCATTTACTAAGTCTCAATCAATGTTCATCAAACGAAATCCTACTACTACTTCTTCTCTTAATAAAATAAAAGAAGCAAATGAGTTTTGATTTATTTTCTTAATTTGAATCAATTTTTCAATCATTTTAAAATATATTTCTTCTTTTCCTTTTTTATCTTTTTGTTTTGAAGAAATTTATTCAATCATTTTTGTCTTTTATCTTAACACTTCTTTATTCTTATTTATCACAAATTATTATTTATTTATCAATTTTTTTTAATAATTTTTCATTTGTTAAAAATTTCAAATGTATTTATTATTCGTTTTAATGAGAATTAGAAATAATTCAATGAGTTAACTTGTTTTTGTGAGAAGAAATAACTCTTCTTCCTTTACCAAGTACTTTAAGATAAATGGAACGATTATCATTTGTACTTTCAATGCAATAAAAGAATTTGGGATAAGTGCCTACATATTAATTCAACATTAAGTCAGTTATTCCATTATTTATTCTGTGGAGAAGATAAAATAAACAAATGATGTATCATATCTTATTTGAGAGGAAGATTAAATCATATATTATACCATTGAAGTATATATAAGTCATCACATTATAACATGGTAATAACACCAACAAAAATTATTTCTTTAAGTCATAAATTGAAACTATCCCCAGTTTATTTAACTTTGTTGTAAATAAAAAGGGGAGGGTATTAAATAATAGAATGTCAGACATGTATTTTTCATAATTTTTTAAAGAAAGAGTTAGTTGAAAAGAGATAAAAAGAAAAAATAATGTTATTTTAGAAAAAATAAGTCTAAGGAATATTAAAACACTTTTTTTAAAAAATAAAAAATAAAATGAAAAGGATTAAAAAAATGGAGTATTGAAGTAATAAATTACAAAAAGGAAGAACACATCATCGAAAATATTTAAATTATGAAACTATTTATTTTTAGTTAGGATATCCTGTTTAATTTAATTAAATTTCTATGTAATAATTATAGTTGACATGAATTAGTCTCAACTCAACAATGTTTGTTGGTGACGAATATAATTAAAGAAATTCTATTTTATAACAACTTGGTTTATTTGAAAAATGTTAAAATTTTTAATTTAAATAAACAAAAAGTAATAAAATATGAAAAAGGTATTTTTTTTAATTTAAAATATTTTCTTTTTTTAAATCAAAAAAAAAGTTTGAAAAACGTTGATGACTTTTACTTTAATTTCCTTATTTTTAAAATAAGTTCGAAATAATTTATTATTATTTGAAATAATTTAAAAAAAAGAGTAAAAAGGAAGAAGTTGAAAAAAGTAATTTCGTTTTTAGGTGTTAATAATCCAAAAATAAACTCTCTTGAAAAGAAAATAAGAGAATAGAACAAGTTCTGAAAAACAAAAGGAAAAATAAGATAATTTAAACAACTCAATGAACTTTAAAAATTCAGGATATGAAATTATTATTATTAAATATCTTATTATTATGTTGTCTTGCAGATAAACTTAATGAATTTTCAGCAGATATTGATTATTATGACCTTGGTATTATGTCTCGTGGAAAGAATGCAGGTTCATGGTATCATTCTTACACTCACCAATATGATGTTTTCTATTATTTAGCTATGCAACCATGGAGACATTTTGTATGGACTACTTGTGAAACAACCAAGGGTAATAAAGAATGTTATAAATATATTATCAATGAAGATCATAATCTTAACGCTCAACAATTGAATAACATTAAAAACCTTGATAAACAAGATTTTTGTCAAAAAGAATATGCATATCCAATTGAAAAATATGAAGTTGATTGGGACAATGTTCCAGTTGATGAACAACAAATTGAAAGTGTAGATATTAATGGAAAAACTTGTTTTAAATATGCAGCTAAAAGACCATTGGCTTATGTTTATTTAAATACAAAAATGACATATGCAACAAAAACTGAAGCATATGATGTTTGTAGAATGGATTTCATTGGAGGAAGATCAATTACATTCAGATCATTTAACAATGAGAATAAAGACTTTATTGATCAATATAATACAAACACTACATCAAAATGTATCATTGATGTTCATAAGAATAATGTTAATACACATCTTGCAATTATTCTTGGTATTACTGATTCTACAGTCATTAAATCACTTCAAGAAAAATTATCCGTTTTAAGTCAATTAACAACAGTCGATGGAGTAACAATCTATTATCTTAAAGGAGATTCATATGCAACTGATAATATTAAATTAAAAGATTTGAAATATGAAACACTTGTCAAATACACAGCAGGACAAGGACAAGTTGATCCACTTGTTAATATTGCTAAGAATGACTTATTCAAAATGATTTCTGACAAGAAAATCAAAAGAGGAACTATGGTTGTGTTAATGGACAATGCACTTGGATCAGAATTTAATGCAGAAACAGAATTTGATAGAAAGAATATTTCAGTTCATACTGTTGTTCTTAATAGAAATAAAGACTCAAAGATTACATATAGTGCTTTGAAACTTGTTTCACTTGGACCACATTATCATGAATTCACAAGTAATAGTGAAGTATCAACTACTATTGATGAACTTTTCAAAGGAATTAGAGCTAATTTAACAGAAAGATGTGATAGAGATAAATGTTCAGGATTTTGTGATGCAATGAATAGATGCACATGTCCAATGTGTTGTGAGAATGATTGTTTCTATACATCCTGTGATGTAGAAACAGGATCATGTATTCCATGGCCTAAAGCTAAACCAAAAGCAAAGAAAGAATGTCCAGCAACATGTGTAGGTTTATATGAATGTAAAGATCTTGAAGGATGTGTTGTTACAAAATATAACGCATCTTGTGAACCAAAAGTGAAATGCATGGTACCATATTGTGATGACGATAATAATCTAAAGGAAGTATGTAAACAAAAAGCTAATTGTGAAGCAGATCAAAAACCAAGTTCTGATGGATATTGTTGGAGTTATACATGTGATGAAACTACTGGTTTTTGTAAGAAATATAAACACGGAAATTTGTGTACAGGAAAAACTACTAACTGTCAAGAATATGTTTGTGATTCAGAACAAAGATGTACTGTTCAAGAAAAGGTATGTGTAAAAACATCACCATACATTGAAATGTCATGTTATGTAGCTAAGTGTAATCTCAATACAGGTATGTGTGAGAACAGATTATCATGTGATACATACTCATCATGTGGTGGAGATTCTACAGGATCAGTATGTAAATGTGATGCATCAACTGGTAATCAATGTAAATGTAATAAGGTAGAAAATGGTAATTATTGTGATTCTAGTAAACATGAAATTTGTGATTATACTGGAGATAAACCAAAATGTATTGTCTCTGAATGTACAGAAGATCTTGTTAGAGATGGATGTCTTATTAAGAGATGTAATAAGACAAGTAAAACAACATATTGGGAGAATGTTGATTGTTCAAACACTAAGATTGAATTTGCTCAAGATGGTAAATCTGAAACTATGTGTAAACCATATTACTCAGCTACATGTTTGAATGGACAATGTGTTGTTCAAGCAGTTGGTGATGTTTCTAATGTAGGATGTGGATATTGTTCAATGGGAACAGATAATGTTATTACATATCATGATGATTGTGATTCACGTAAATCACAATGTGGAAACTTTAATGGTAAGTGTCAACCAAATGGAGATAATTCTTATTCTTGCGTATTTGAAAAAGATAAAACTTCTTCTAAATCAGATAATGATATTTGTGCTGAATGTTCTAGTTTAACATGTCCAGCTGATACTACATACAGAACATATACATATGACTCAAAAACAGGAACATGTAAAGCAACTGTTAAGCCAACACCATCATGTTCAGTATGCGAAAAAGGTAAATTTGTAGAGAAATGCAAAGATCAAAAATTAGAACGTAAAGTCACTTTAGAAGATGGAAAAGAATATCAATACAATATTCCAAAAGATTGTGTCAATGAACAATGCATTCCAAGAACCTATGTTGATTGTTTAGCTAATGATGATAATTTTGGAGAAATTTATAAATTCTATTTACCATGTCAAGCATATGTTACAGCTACCTATCATTACAGTTCATTATTCAATTTAACTAGTTATAAACTTCATTTACCACAAAGTGAAGAATTTATGAAAGAGGCAGACAAAGAAGCATATTGTACATACGAAATAACAACAAGAGAATGTAAAACATGTTCATTAACTGAAACTAAAGAAAAAGTAGAAGAAATTGATTTGTGTGCAGAAGAGACTAAGAATGGAGGAGTTCCATTCAAATGTAAGAATAACAATTGCATTATTGATCCTAACTTTGATTGTCAACCTATTGAATGTAAGATTCAAGAGATTGTTATTACAGAAAAAGATGGAATAAAAACAACAACATGTAAAGATACTGGAAAAACAACATGTGACACTAACAATAAGAGAATAGAAGATGCACGTAAAGCATTCATTGAAGGAAAAGAAGGAATTGAGCAAGTAGAATGTGCAAGTACTGTTTGTCAAAATGATAATAGTTGTCCAATTATTGCTGATGTAGAAAAATGTAATCAAAACACAGAAGTAGATTATGGATGTAAAGCAATGACAGGAGAATGTGATGGTACTACATATCTTTGTAAATTTGTACAACTTACTGATGATCCATCATTAGATAGTGAACATTTTAGAACTAAATCAGGAGTTGAACTTAACAATGCATGTTTGAAATATAAATGTGTTGAGAGTAAAGGAAGTGATGGAAAAATCACACATAAATGGGAAATTGATACAGAACGATCAAATATTGATCCAAAACCAAGAAATCCATGCGAAACTGCAACATGTGATCAAACAACTGGAGAAACTATTTACACAAAGAAAACATGTACTGTTTCAGAAGAATTCCCAACAATCACACCAAATCAAGGAAGATGTTTCTATTGTCAATGTTCATATCTTGACGGTTCATCAGTTCTTACTATGTATGGAGAAACAGATAAAGAATATTATGATCTTGATGCATGTGGTAATTGTCGTGTTTGGAATCAAACAGATAGAACACAACAACTTAATAATCACACCGAGTGTATTCTCGCAGGAGAAATTAATAATGTTGGAGCTATTGCAGCTGCAACTACTGTTGCTGTAGTTGTAGTTGCAGTCGTAGTTGCATTAATTGTTGTTTCTATTGGATTATTTAAGACTTATCAACTTGTTTCATCAGCTATGAAGAATGCCATTACAACAACTAATGAAAATGCAGAATATGTTGGAGCAGATAATGAAGCAACTAATGCAGCTACTTACAATGGATAATTAATTTAATTATCTTACTATTTAGTATTGTTTTTATTTTTTATGTTATATTAGTAAAACAGTCATAAGTAATATATTTTTTGGTTATAAAAGCTTTTTCTAATAGAGTTAAAAAAGTTTTTGAAATAGAAAAGAAGAGATAGAAAAAAGAATAAATGAACTATATCAACCTGAAAAAGCAGATGAAGGTTTTATTACAATTTCACATTTAGCAAAGGAATATCCAATTCCCGATGAGTTTAGAGTTGAATTGTATGAAGTTTGTTTAGAGAAGTTATAAAAAAGATAAGTAAAACTAAAATAAAAACTCACAGCAAACGTAGTATTTAATTCTAAAAGCAGATGGTATTGAATGTAAAGTACAACGAGAAATAGGAAAGCCTATTATAATTGAAGAATACCTCACAAAGTTTGAATTATCAAAAGATAAAATTAATGATGCAAAGGAGACAGTGTTATATATTATTCATATAAATCCATGTCAATATTATGAAGAGATTGTATTATTTGTATTAATTATGGAAAAAATTATGGGAAGAATTGACTTACCTTTTATACAGAGGATTTATATTAGTTATATGGGATTTTATCATTAACACAAATTACACAATACCATTTAAACAACCACTCCAAATGATAAAAGATAAACGAAAAACAGAAGAAGAAACAGAAAAAAAGGAAGATGACAAGAAAGAAAAACAAGAGAATAAAGAAGAGATAGAAGGAAAAGAAGAAGATGGGAAAATCAAAGTAGAAAAAGAATATACAAAATCAAGACGGGGAAATTCATTCAGGCAAACACTACTATGGCTAACAGAAGAACTTAACAAGGAAAGAAAACGTCAAAAAGAGAGGAAGAAAAAAAAGATTAAAGAAACAGCAATTGTTAAATCCAAACCAATAAAATGGTATTGTGAAAGTCTAAAGAAAGAGAATACACAATTTAAGTGCATAATATGTAAAGGAAAACCCAAAGAAGAGACTATTTGTTTAGTTAATAAAGAAACAATTCTTGTAATAAACCAAGAAAGAGAATAATGGGAAATCAAAAACCAAATCATGTTAGATGATATAATACAAATTGTTAAAGTTATTAAAATTAAAGGATAAATCATTAAATAAGGAGGGGGAGAAAAAGAAAAACAAAAAAATATATTTCATTTAATCACGGAGATCTAGTCTCAGAATTTATCAAAGAAATAAATTCTGAGACAAACAAAAAGGTTGAAATTTATTTTTTTTTTATGGATTTATTTTTAGCTTTTCAGATTTATTGGTTAATGATAATAATAAAAGTATTTTTTTTTTTGATTATTCAATAAGAATATTTTTTTTATGAAATAAAACCACTTAATATTAGATCATCCAATACAATGCATCAATAAAATAACTCTTTAAACAAAAAATTGTTCACAGAGTCAAGTCGTTAAAAATAATTTAATTTAAAAAAATTTTTTTTTTTACAAAAAAATGCGTTAATTGAATATTTTTAACTCAAATAAAGAGGATAAAAAAGACTTGCAAATGGGATTTTAATATCAAGTTTCTATACTTTTAGTTTTCATTAATTAAAAAATACAATAACCAATTATAGAATTATAGAATAACTGCCTTGTCGTTACTTGTATATTTTTAGAATTCATTATTTATGAAAAACCATTTTTAGCAAAAAATTAGACTCAAAAAGTATTATCAAACTAACTTAAATTTTGTGATGCCAATGTTTCTCATTGAAAAAAAATAGACATAAAAAATATATTCAAAACATAAATTAACACGAAGAAGAATCCTGGTGATATATACTAAATGATTGAAGAAATTGGTTATTCTTTTCTAAAATAACTTCTTTTTCTTTATCTACAAGATTAAAGAAATAGTTATTAATTTCTTTACCTATAGCTTTAATTTGATTTTTAGTGAAGAGGACTTTAGAATTAATGAAAATTTCACTAATTGTTTCTAATTTTGTAGAGTTGTGTTTTCCAGAAGAAAATGTTGTATTAAAAGTAATTCCATACATTCTTAACATATCAAGAAGAAGATGATGATTTTCAGCTATTTTATTATTAGTGTATCTTCTACATGCACTTATTTCATTTATTCCATTAGCTACATCAACTCTCATTTTCTCTTTACAACGTTCTTCAACAAAGTCTACTACATCAACTTCAGCAAATTTGTCTCTAAGAGTTTTAACTTTAATAACTTGTCCAGTAACTAATGATTTCTTTGTTGGTCTTGTAATGGTAATATCAAAGTGTTGGTTCAAAAGAAGTAGAAGAACTCCTTGTTGACACATTAAGTAATTTCGAATTTCAAAGTATTTTTCGCAGAGACGCTCGGAGTCACTTTTCTTTTGGACTTTAGTTGTTCTTGACATTATGAAATAGTGATTTTAAATAAAAGTTTATTACCTTTAAATACTTTTTAGAATTCTATTTTAGTTTGATGATTTGTCAGGCTCCATCAAAGAAATTATACTAACCCTTACTTTCTTACTAGTTTTAAACTTCCACTATTTTTAGTTCTTTTTCATAGAAAGTAATGCTGCCTTCTCTTTTTTTTGGTTTTTAACCCATTTAGTTTGCTTAGAATTTCGAGTGCTATCCAAAACCATAACTCCAACCTTATTCAAGAAACTATTGGCTACCAATCTTACCAATATTCTTCCTTTTTATTCTTTTTCTTCATTTTCATGATTATCATTTTCTATTTCAAATCATTCTCCAATTTTTTTTTGTCTCGTTTTATTCGCTGCACCTTTAATCAACTAATGAATAAAAGATACATAATATTTTTATTGTTTTTCTCTGCGGAGTTTTAGTGAAATTAGTTTTCTTTTTTAAATTGAATGAAACTTAAAAAAAAAATATGCTGTTAGAACCTTCAAAGGAGTTAAAAGAATATTAATTCCCTTCATTCTTATATTGTTTAATGAATTTCATTTAATCTTTTAAATCTCAGTTTTATCTTCATATTTCATATGTGAAGTTAATTACTTTTATTTATTTAGAACTCAAGTAGTTTATAGAGTAATAGACAAACATCCTCTATTTTATAATCAAGGTTCTAACATTCTTTTTTTTATGTTTTTCATTCCATTCCAAAAATTTTGAAGAAAAACATAAATAAAACATTGCAATATTATGATATTTGAAATAATAAGAAGAACCAATAGAATATATTTCAGAATAATGTAATAGAATAAAAACAATTATAAACTCAGTAAGTATAAAGATATTGACATTATAAGAAGGATTTTGTTTTAATAAACAAGAAATAATATAATTAATTCCTAATAACAAAATTTTTATCTTCAAAATGTAGAAATAAGAATAATAATTACTCACAAAGAACAATTAAATTACCGATAAGACGGTTGGAATGAACTTACAACAAAGCACATTTCTTAGAACTCTTCTTTGATGATTGATTTTTATTCAAAACAATATGAATTGCTTCATCAAATACTTGATTAAGTCCAGAACGAGTTAAAGCTGAACATTCCATATAACAAATGGCTTTAATATCTTTTGCAAGTTTTTCACCTTCTTCAGTTGTAATTGGTTTTTGGTTTTCATCAGCTAATTTTCTGATCATAGCTTCATCATTACGACAATCAGTCTTTGTTCCAACTACCATCATTTTACATTTAGGTTCATAATGTTTAATTTCTGGTAACCATTTAGATGAAATATTATTAAATGATGTTCTTGATATAACTGAAAAACATAATAAGAAAAGATCAGTATTTGGATATGACAATGGTCTTAATTGTTCATAGTCCTCTTGTCCTGCAGTATCCCATAGTCCAAGATTAATAGGTTCTCCATCAACAGTCATTGGAGCCATATAATTATCAAATACAGTTGGTACATAATCTTTTGGAAATTCATTAGTTGTATAACAAATTAATAAACATGTTTTTCCAACAGCTCCATCTCCTACAACAACTAATTTAACACTTTTAGCATCTGTTGGTGCAGCTGACATTTCTTTTTGTTTTGAGTGAAACTTAGTTCATTAATTTCTAGTTATTTTATAATTCTATTTACTATTTATCAAACTATATTTTTTTGTCTCATTTTCGTTTTTTTTTTTTTTTCTTTTTAGTTTTTTCTTTTTATTATATAAATAATAAATTTTATTATAATTTATTATTATTTTTTCTTAGTTGAGAGTTTTTTGGTTTTTTGTTGTTTCAACAATTCATTTTTTTTTCTTTTTATTTTAGATTTTTTTTCTTTTAAAATGGGATTTATCAAAAAAAAAAAAGAAAAAAAATTCTATTCAAGTTGAAAGATATTAATAATTATGTGACAGATGTTCATTCAAAACTTGTTTCCAATGAGAATAAGCTTGACAATATTCTATACATTCTCCTTTTGGGATAGTATATTTATCAACCATTTTTAATGAATTTAATGCTTGGTTTAATGAAGTAAAATAACCACTACCAACTGCACTTGCTAATGCTGCTCCTAATGAACCATCAGTTTGGTAAAGTTCAATTGTTGTATTTGTTACTGCAGATAATGTTTTAACAAATAATTTACTTTGAAACATATTTGTATAACATGCTTTAATTGTAGTAATTGACATTCCCATATTTCTCATTTGTTCAATTCCATATGCAAAGGCAAATACAATTCCTTCTTGTGATGCTCGGATAAGATGTTGTTTTGTATGAACATTAAAATTTAAATGTTCAATAGAACATCCAATACAACTATTTTGTAACATTCTTTCACTCCCATTACCAAATGGGAGAATAACAAGACCATCACTTCCAATAGGAACTTGTTCAGCTAATTCATCCATTACTTTATAATCACTATCAAGTAATTTCTTAATAAATGAATATAAACATCCAGTTCCATTAATACATAATAATATTCCATTTCTAGGTTGAAATTGGGAATTATTTACATGAATAAATGTATTAATTCTTGATAATTCATCATATAATGGAAACTCTGTTATACCATAAACTACTCCTGATGTTCCTGCTGTAGATGCAACTTCCCCTGGATTTAATACACCTAATGAAAAAGCATTATTTGGTTGATCACCTGCTCTATAAGTAATAGGAATATCCTCAACTAATCCAAGTTCATTTGCAATTTCTTTTCTTAATTTACCTTGAACACCAAACGTGGGAACAATATCTCCAAGTTGGTCATTTCTTAATCCTAACCAATTCATCATTTCAGTAGATATTTCTTGTCTTTTATAATCCCATAACATACATTCTGATAATCCAGATTGTGTTGTAGTTGGTTTACCAGTCATTCTAAAAGCAATATAATCACCAGGAAGTAATACTTTATAAATACGATTAAAAATCTCTGGTTCATGTTCTTTTATCCATGCTAATTTTGTTGCTGTAAAGTTCCCAGGAAGATTTAACAAATGTTTTAAACAAAAATCATGTCCAAGTTTTTGTTCTGCATCATAGCCATATGATACACCTCTTGAATCACACCAAATAATTGCATCACGTAATACTTTTCCTTGAGAATCAATTAAAACAATTCCATGCATTTGATAAGATATACCAATTGAAACAATATTGGAAATTGAAAGTCCATGTTCCTTGATAAAATAAACAATTTGTTGAGTAACTTGTTGAATATTTTTCCACCATTCTTCTACATTTTGTTCAGCAAATCCATCTTGTTTTGATAAAATTTTCATTTCCTTTTTAGGATAATAATCAGTTATTAAAGATGTTCCACTTTCTATATCAACTAATGACCCTTTTATTGATGAACTGCCAATATCATATCCAATACTTAATTTCATCTCAAACTCAAATTTTTTAGATAATTTTTCTTATTGGTTCCATTAAACAAAAACTTTGAAAAATTATTGTTTTATTAAGATAATAATTATTTATTATTATTTTTTAATTAAATGCTCTCTTATAGTATTTCCTTCTTTTGTAAAATTATCTTGGAAGTCATTTGAATGTATTTATTTTTTTTAGAAGAATTATTACTTTTACATTACACGTCAAACTTCACCATTAAATATATTTTTAGATAAAAATACTTTCAAAAAAAAAAAAGAAAAACCACTAAATATAAACACAAAATGTGGTAAATATTTTTGTAATATATTTTTTAATATCTTATTTATCGAGTTTTTTTTAAAAAACCGTAGTTGATGTGAAAAACATGAATTGTTGTAAATAATAATATGAAAAATAATAGTATTATTAGAATAAAATTTTAATAAAAAGGAGTTTTTCTATGTGTTATTAAGATATACTTGTATTTTAAGATTAAATAAAAATTCATTTCCAATGATTGTGTTGATACTCCTTCAATTATTTTATACTGGTTTTAGTCAGTATAATTGCTCTGTTGGATGTGGCAGTTCTTCAAATTGTATTGCAGAATATACATGTCCTTTATGCTTAGAAGGATATGAACAAGATGGGTCATGTTTTTATTGTGATAATGATAATCTTGATTCAACATCAACAACTCTTAATGTAATGACTGTAAATGGATGTGAAAAACGGTCGTTAGTATATGATGGTGATAATATACCAACAGACGTAATAGAGTTAAAATTAGATGAACGTTATACCTATACTTTTACTAAAGATAAACCATATAGAAAAGCTCCTTGTGGGAATGGAGGTTATGTTCAAGGATTTTGGGTTAAATTTGATTCTAAGGCAATGGAGAATGATACTATTTATTTAGATTTTACAGTAACTGACCTTAATGGAGAAGAAGATTCAGTTGACTATACTATGACTATTAATATTATTTCTCAACACCATGGAAATAAATTATGTGTTGGACAGTCAAGTTTAGGTAGTGTACTTTATCCTCATTTCCAAATGCCAAAACAAATGTTTATGAATGATGACACAATATATTATTATTTTTTCTCTTTAACAGAAGAAGTTGATTTAAAATTTTCTTTTTGTTTTACTGAAAGTGAAACAGAACGAGTAAGATATTATATTTCAGGAGATAATCTTGAAATGCTTGCTGAAGTTAAACGAACAGGAACTGTTCAATTACCATTAGCATCAGAAGGATATTTTGGATATCCAGTGTGTATGCCACATATTTTTGGTAAAATGATTGATTTAGAATATGAATTTAATATTAGTGCAGTCATGTTAATGACAACTAAAAGACAAAATAGAATACTTTATGTTGAAGAATATGAATGGGATGAAAATGATGATAAGCAGTGTGTTCAATTTTGGAATTATGTTACCGTAAATGGAAATATTGGAATTTTTCTTCTTGTTCAACCATCACATAGAGTTAGAAAATTTACTTTTATTACTCAAGAACATAATTTGGATATATATGTATCTTTAAGAGTTATTTGTCCAAATAATTGTCATAATGATATTGGAAATGGATATTGTTCAATATCTGAAGAAAAATGTATTTGTAAAGAAGGATATGGTGGAAGTGATTGTCATTTATTATGTTATTATAATAATCAATGGCAACCAAGTACTAATAAAGGAGATAATCAATGTTATTTTGGAAGTTCTTCTTGTTCTGAAAATTGTTTATGTGAAGATGGATATGTATTAGTTAATCATCGATGTATTTCTTATAATTGTACATCAAGAATTAAAGATGAAACAATAGAATGTTTTAATGGTGACATAAATTGTGATATAGATTGTAAATGTAAATCAGGATATAAATTATTTAATGAAAAATGTATTCTTGAAACATGTGGAAATGGTATGAGAGATGAAGGAGAAGATTGTGATGGAGGAGAATATTGTAATGAATTTTGTAAATGTCAAAGTAATAAATATATTCCATCTTCTAATATTCAACAATCGTGTCAACCAAAAATATCATCAGGAACAATTGCAGGAATAGTTTGTGGGTGTTGTGCTGTTTTATTCATTATAATTCTCATAATCATTATATTTATTATTTATAAATTCTCACATTCTATTCAATTACTTCTTAATGATGATATATGGAAAAGTCAACAACCTCCATATTATATGTATATTAGTGGATCAAAAAGATATTCACCTGAAGTAAGTAAAAGTCTTAAATTTTCAATTACACCATTAAGTCTTGATTTTGGTCGTTCAGAAATTCCAACGGAAATATTTGAAACAAGATATCAAGAAATACATGTAAAGAATTTATCAAAAAGGAAAGATATGATGATTATTTTTCATACTCCAAATAATCCTAAATATGTTTTTCATTTTAATCCTCAAGTAAAAATTCTTGGTCCAAAAAGAAGTACAGATATTGTTGTTTTTATGACTCTTCATTGTACTACAAAAATAAAAAATGTATGTATCCCTTATACTGTTTGGTTTAGTAAATCAAGAAGGTATCTTAATAAAATTGTTGAGTTATTAAAAGAAAAAACATTTAATGATTGGAGTCAAAGTGATCAATTACAAATGGAAAAAGAATTAAAAAATATTCCTCTTCATTGTCATGGTAATTTTGTTATTGCTACTGAAGCTGCATCTTCTACTCATATTGATATGGATGAACTAAATATATCAGAAGAACCAATTGCAGAAGGAGCAATGGGGAAAGTATATATTGGAGAATATCGTAGTGTTCCAGTAGCAATTAAAGTTTTTAGATGGGAAAACTTAACAGAAGAAGAAATGAATGATTTAAAGAATGAAGTAATAAATGAATGTGAAGTAATGAGTAAATTAAGAAATCCATTTATTGCAAATTATATAGGATCAATAACATATATACCACAAATATCAATGGTTACACAATTTTTTATTTTAGGATCATTAGGTGAATATTTAAGAAAAAATAAACCAAATTATCTTAGATTACCTTATAAATTAAAAATTAGAATGTTATTTGATACTGCAAGAGGAATGGAATTCTTACATGAAAATAGAATTATGCATTTAGACCTTAAACCTGATAATCTTTTAGTTAATTCTTTATATACTGATTCAAGTTGTTGTATTAAAATTACAGATTTTGGTACTTCAAGATTTACTAAAAAAACTAATAATTTAACAGATAAAGGACTTGGTACACCAATTTATTTAGCACCAGAATGTTATCATGATCATTATACATTTGCAGGAGATGTTTATTCATTTGCAATTACTGCATGGGAAATATTTTATCAAGATGAACCTTACAAAGAATTTAAGTCTTTATTTGATATTAAAAGATTTGTTGAAAATGGAGAAAGACTTAAAATTGATATGAAAATGCCACAACCATTAAAAATTTTAATTACTGAATGTTGGGCACATTCATTTGAAGACCGTCCTCAATTTTCTGAAGTTTGTGATAAAATGGTAAATGTTATTGAGAATGTTGGTGAACATGGAGAATTAGATGAAGGAATCGACGTGAATGATATAGAACAATTTATACAACAAAGAACTGAAAAATTTGAATTATTTAAATCAAATTTATAATTAAATTCATTTATATTGAAGAGAATTATTTTTACTCTTATGAATTAATATTTTTACAATAAAATAAAATCAATTAACTCAATTTAAGAATTATAATTTGATGTATTTCAAATTTATTAATAGAAGAAGAAATATTGAATAAATCATTATCATTCATTTCTTTATATAATTCAGATAATCTTGAAACACAACATCTTTTATTTTTCGTTTTTGCTATATGAATAAAACCAATTCTATTTCCAAGAGTAAATAATGAACAATTATTATCATGAAGAGAAAATGAAATAATCATGTTATCTTTTAATTGATATTTTTTTTTAGTTTTTGTTGAATAAATAAAATGTGTTTGATTTGTTATTTGGTTAAATTCTTTTTTTATTATTTTATCTTCAATATAAATACAAACCCATTCTTTTTCTTTTGTTTGTAAATTAATTAACAAACTCTTTTGATTTATTATTATTTCATTAAAATTTTTATTTGTTTCTTTCATTGTTTTTGATGAAAATATCATTTCCCATTCACTTTTTTCTGACATTTCTTGAATAATAGTAATTAAAATATCATCTACTTGTTGTTCATCATCAATACAATTCTGTTTATCTTTTTCTTTCTTAAATGTATTTATTATAAAATCTTCATTTTCTTTTCCATTAAATGTATTCTTTTTATAAAAACATAACATTCCTTGAATATCAATTTCATTTTCTATGTCTTGATGTGAAATAAATTTTATAAATGAATTATAAACAGTATCATCCTCAATATTAATTGTTTCAATATCAATTGAACTTAATTGTATTATAGGAACACCTATTTTAATAATATCTCTTCCATTCACATTAACTTTACATATAGTTTCTCCACTTTTATTAAATAATATAATAATGTTATTATCTTCATTTAATCGATACATTTTACAATTCATTTCTTCTTTTGTTTCATCATAAAGAGAAAATAAAGTACATTCTACATCATGTATTTCATTATAATAATTAAGTTTATTCATCCCTTCTATTTCAAATCCAATTACATTACCATAACCATCAAATATAACAATACATAATGATATCTCAATTTCTAAATGTGATATTATTTCGTTTTGTATTGTCAAAAGATAATCTTTTTTTACTTCAATCATATCCCATCCTTTTCCAAACATTTGTTCAATCCATCTACATTTTGCTACTTCATTAATTTGTTTATCAGCAAGTATTCTTCTTTTATTCTTTATTTCTATTAAACCTGTATCTACTTGAGGAGTATCTTTATATCCTTCAAATAAAATATCTGTTGTATTTGTTTCACATTCCATTGGAATAATTTCTTTATTATCTTTTGTATCTGTTAATTTTGGAATGTTATCATTTTG